CCCTGTGGAGGTGTGGATTGCGCACGCGCTGCATCCCTGGGCAAGAGGGGGGGCACTCTCGCTGGTGTGCGTCCCCAACGCCCTTCTTCTTTGCTCCATGGGCGTTCTTCCAGCCGCACCCCAACCGTTAGCGCTTTCTCAACCACTTGCTGAGTGCTTTTGGGTCTTTCCCCCCTTGCAATCTCATCCTTGATATTTGGGTTCAATCCCTCCCAGAAGAGGTCTCTAACTGGCGGAGAATCCTTATCCCAACCCAGCGCGTTGACCAATGCAAAAAAGCGGGAATGATACTGCCTTACGCTGGCTCTCCCTTGCCGTAGCCCATGTATGTCCTTCCGGGCAATGTCAATGTCTATGTTTGATAAGAAACAGGAATCCATCGCTTTAATGAATGCATCTGCACTTCGGAGCGCTGGATCCTTATCTCTCCACAGATTGCGCAGCCATGCTTTCGCGTCCCCATGCAAATGGGACAAGATAAACCCCACCTTCTCTTGCTCATCTCTAAAGTCTTTCTCCAGCAGTTGCAGCGCAAACAGCACGTCTGCTCGGAAATTGGGGTACTGCTGTAAATTCCCATCGAAATGAGATACAAGGCTGCATCCTCTCTTCCCCAACCCAATCCCCTCGGATCTGGGTCCCGGTGGCCCCTGCCTCGCAAGCACTTCCAACCTGGCTTGAAGATCTTTGCAGGCAGCAGCCGCTTCTTCTTCTCTCTTCCTGGATGCGATTATCTCCGCGCTGAGTTGTGTCACCGCTTCTTGCAGGGAAGCTATTTGCTGTTCAGTAGTCATCTCGCCTGACTCTTGTGAGCTCGCAAAGCACCAGTCTTCTTCCCTCCCTGCTTCGCTCCCGTAGCGACGCTTAAGGCGAAGAAAACTGATGAAAATGGAGACGGAGCTTACTGTCAGAGACTGCCTCCAGGTCCCAGCTCACAGAGGACCAACGCTAGCCAGTTGAACTGTACAAAAGTCTTTATTGAAGCATAGTTTCCATTTTCAAACCCTAGCGTGCATCTCTACGTCTAGAGCCTAGACCGACGAAGCTCCGTCTGAGTCTCCGCCCCCTGTACACCAGCTTAAGACTCTAGCCTTACTCCACCTTTTCCGTCTCTCCTTCCGCCTCTGGGTCCTACCACCCCCCGGGGTCCCTTCCTTCCTGGACGCTTCGGAAGCGGACCCCTCGGACTCTTCGCCCTCCCTTCGGCGGGCTTTAGGACCTGGCTCCCTATCCGGGCTGCTCATCGCGCCACCCTCTTGTACATTTGAACTTGGCGCGCGCGCGCTGCCTCCGACCTTCCTTTTGACCTTCTCCTCACTCTCTGATGCAGGCGTGGCTAACCCTGACTCATGTCCTTCCGCTGACGGAAAGCTGCCTGATGCCGATGCCTGGGACTCCTCCCCCCTACTGCTCTCCGGTGGGGAAGCTGGTCCCGATTTCCAACTGCTGCTCTCTGAGTCCCCTCTGGCCCCTCCTTCCTGGGGTGTTCCCTCTGGCAACCCCCTAGCTCTGACCACGGGAGCCCCTTTCTGTGAATCCTCCGATTCGCTGGAGAGACTTAGAGACCTCGGGCGGCTATCATCGCTAACTTCTCCCTCGGATTCCTCCCCCTCGGTCTCTAATTCCTCCCTTTCCTGTCCCTCTGCTCCTGAGCCCCTGACAGTATGTAACCCAAGTTACCACTGTATAGCTTGTAGTCAGAGGGAAAGATGTTATCCCGAAGTGAATCCTTTCTAGTCCTCCTCTCCCCACCCCCGCCCCAAGAAAAACCACATTAAAGGTACCTAGTACAAAAGTCACTGGGCTGATTTGCCTGAAACGTAGCAAGTTTCTTGCCCAGGGGAACCTCTTTCATAGCTGAAAATTTCAGACCAATTGTCCTGAAAATACCATGGAAGATTAAGTGATTAATTCTTCCCTCCCCAAGGTGGTGGCTGCCCCAACAGAAAAACCATGACAATGATCTTTTTGGAATTTGGCAGGATTCTTTGACTCAGAAGGGGCAATGTTGCCTGTGAATTTCATTCAACTCGGCCCTCCCCCAATAAAATAAAAGTTACAGAAGATTCCTGCAACTACCATCCACTTCTGCCAAAATAAGGTACTTACTAGGTACCTGCCACAAAAAAACTTCTGCTCCTTAAAAGAACACTGATTGTCAGTCTTATACGCAACAGTCAGTTGCAAACGGTTGCCTGTGTTACATTTCTATAATTATATTTGTTGTTCAGTCACAAGATCATACACCAGATTTGCTGATATTAGCTACTCATGTCAATAATGCGAGGGCAGAGGGGAAAGAGGAAGAGAGAAAGAGAACAGGAACTGTTTCCAGGCAAAAAATAATGATAAATCACAATAGGTGCCACCATATACAAAAGAGTTCATTTTATTACATTTATCAGCCAGCAAAAAACCCATATTAATGGCAAGCAATTCCATTAAGAGCTCATTATTTCCTTGTGTTTATAATAGGGGAAGCATTATCAAGGGTAATATTCATCTGACACAGCAGAAACTGAGAGCGTGAAACAGTTTGGGGAAGTCACAGGAGAAGACGTTGAGCTTAATTCCTAAAAAGAAATAGTTATATTCCTCCCCACCCCCACCCCCCAACTGAGTTCTGCTCATCAAAAGCATATCAAACCTTCATCAGAAGGGATGAGGGCGCAGAGGCGTCTATATAAATGCCATGTATATATTATTGTCTCGGTAATCCCCGTAACAAATTAAAGTAGGCAATTTATGTTAGCCACACATTGCAGAGGGAGACCAACCCAGTGTGTCGAAGACTAAACTGACATTTCAATCAAGGACCTGCAGGCATTAAACCACTATGCTACAATTAATTGATATTGTTATAATTCGGCTATTATTGGGGGAATATTGGAAAACCAATAAGAACTTATTAGTTATTCTGCAACGTTATCTTCATTTATTGCATGGTTGGAGAACCTAAGCCTTGGGGCTTAATTGCAGCCCTCCAAGCCTCTCTATCTGGTCCTTGGGGCTTTCTCTTGGCCACACCCTCTTTCCCCAAGCCACACCCCTCCCTGGCCTTGCATCACAGCCTCCTTGAGGGTTTTTGCCTGGCTGTTATGTGCCCTGGACTCTCATAGAGGTTCTTACTTGCCTGGATGGATGATAGACAGAAGAGGGTGAATGTGCAAAGTCTGGACTGCACTTCCCATTGCCCCTGAGCATTGGACATGCTTGCTGGAGCAGATGACATACCCTCCAACATTTCTCTGATGAAAATAGGGACATCCTATTCTATTATTGGGACACGGGTGGCGCTGTGGGTTAAACCACAGAGCCTAGGACTTGCCGATCAGAAGGTTGGCGGTTCGAATCCCCGCGACGGGGTGAGCTCCCATTGCTCGGTCCCTGCTCCTGCCAACATAGCAGTTTGAAAAGAATGTCAAAGTGCAAGTAGATAAATAGATACCACTCTGGCGGGAAGGTAAATGGTGTTTCCGTGCGCTGCTCTGGTTCGCCAGAAGCAGCTTAGTCATGCTGGCCACATGACCCGGAAGCTGTATGCCGGCTCCCTCGGCCAATAAAGCGAGATGAGCGCCGAAACCCCAGAGTCGGCCATGACTGGACCTAATGGTCAGGGGTCCCTTTACCTTTACAGTGGTACCTCGGGTTACATATACTTCAGGTTACATATGCTATAGGTTACAGACTCTGCTAACCCAGAAATATTCCCTCGGGTTAAGAACTTTGCTTCAGGATGAGAACAGAAATTGTGCTCCGGTGGTGCGGCGGCAGCGGGAGGCCCCATTAGCTAAAGTGGTGCTTCAGGTCAAGCACAGTTTCAGGTTAAGTACGGAGCTCTGGAACGAATTAAATACTTAACCCGAGGTACCACTATATTCTATTATTATTATTATTATTATTATTATTATTATTATTATTATTATACTATTTATACCCCACCCATCTGAATGGGTTGCTGCAGGCACTCTGGGCAGCTTCCAACATATATAAAAACACAATAAAACATTAAACATCAAAAAGCTTCCCTACACAGGGCTGCCTTCAGGCGGCTCGGGGGTTGGATAACTCCGTACCCTCCAACATTCCTCCGATGAAAATAGGGACGTCCTAAGGAAAAGCGGGATGTTCTGGAATCAAATCAGAAACTGGGAATGCTTCTGTAAATCTGGGGGTGCCACTGGGAAACAGGGACACTTGGAGGGTCTGAGATGGGAATCAGGGTCCAACAACATCAGGAGTGCACCACGTTGGCTATTCCTAACCCAACAGTCAGTTTCATTCCAGTGGCTTTTGGATTTGTCTTGCAGTCATCGCATATAGAAACCACACTAAAATCTGGCCTGGTCTGCCTACTTAACCCTGCAGAGCTGCTCTGGGAGCAATTACGTTTGCATTTATGGATTGATTATTTTTGCATTAAACGTGCGCGTGTGCACACCCTGGATTATTCATGTGTGCATCTCTCATCCCTCTGTAAAAAACAAAACCCAAACCAAAATAATGACCTTGCAAAAGGAGCCAGATGCACTTCTCCTTTGCGTCTCATTTGCGAAATGCGCTCTGTGTAATGCAGACGATGACAACAGCAAAAAAATATTAAAATAATAATTCAAGTCCCTCTGATCCGACGCAGCCAGACTGCCCTCATACTTTGCAATCATAATTTTCTTCCTCTTTCTCTCTCTCTCTCTTTCTCCCCTGCTACCAGCGCCTTCCCCTCCTCAAACCTTTGAGAAAAAGACGCCCTCTTTTTGCCCTAGTTGGATCTGCAGTAAAAATGAGGGAGATACTGGGGGGAAAGGAGAGAGAGAGAGAGAGAGAGCGAGAGAGAGAGAGACAGCTTTTGGGCTGAGGTTTTCCTGTTACTATCACTGTAGCATTTATTTAGCCAATCTCTTAACTATGACGTCTGGGTGGATGGCTTGCTCATAATATTTTAACACACCCACCGAAGGCCGGCGCTGCCTCCTCCTCTCTCGGCCAGCCAATCTGCTGCATTCAGTGTGGCTCCGAGGGGGAATCGCGCTGCACCTGCCAAACGCTCCCTCCGAGCGCGCTCTCTCTCCCTCCTCCTCCTCCCCCTTTCCCTTTTTGCCTTTTCACATTTATTTACCCCCTTCCTCCTCTTCCCCACGAAAAGCAGATCCGCACAGCCCAGCGCGGATACAACCCCAGCTGCTGCCCTGCTCCAAGAAGGACCGCTATTGAATGTGATGCTTCTATAGATCTTTTATCCCCCCCCCCTCTTCTAATTCGCCAACCTCCCCCCCCCCGCACCACCCTATTTAAATTCTCTATTTTGGGTCATCTGGGAGGTTACTATTTCTTTATCTCTCCCCCTTCCTCTTTGGAGCAAATGACAGTATTGCATTTTTCTTATATATAGTGCGGGTTTTCTTTTTTCTCCTGCACTGATTTATTTTTTAAGAGAAAACCTCTGTCCTTTCAAACCCCCCCCCCTCCTCTCGCTACCCAATTCCTGGATGAGCCGATCGCTCTCGCCCAAGCGCTGGAAGGAAGCTCCGGAAAGAAACATGTTAAAGAAAAAACCCAGCGTCCAGCCAATGTTTTGAAACAGTCGCGCAGAGAGGGAGAGAGCGAGAGAGCGAAGAGAAAACGACCAGAGGAGAGAGCGAGAGAGAGAGAGAGAAGGCAGGAAGATTTTCGCCTCCTGCCTTTTTCCAGCAGCCGCCTCGCTCGTTTTGCAGAGAACCGGGTAGGAAAAGAGAAGCTCCAACAGAGGACCAGAAAAATAATGGGCTGACTCCTTCTCCACCATCATCCCCCTCTCTTATGCTCCTTTTCTGAAATCTCGTCATCCACCCCCCTCCTTTTACCTTTTTAATTTAATTCTTTTTAAATGCTCCTGATTTCTTTGCCTTTATTTCCCTCGGCTTCTTTCTCCTTCCCTTTTCCCCCCAAAGGCAAAAAGAGGCCGATGTTGTGTGCATTCGGGGAGGTCACGTCCAACATCCGACTCTCTCTTTATTTTTTGCATCTGTTTTGACCCCTTCCTGCATTAAACCCGTCCGATCGTGGGGTGCTCCGAGGACTTTTTTTTTTTTTTTTAAATTAATTTGCAACTCTACAGATCGCGATGCTGCTGCTGCTGCTTCCGTCGCCGGCTGCTCCTCGGTTTTAAAAAGACTTGCCTGGTGCCGGGGTAAAGAAAAACCGATTTATTTATTTATGGAAATGACTGGCTGGACCGGACCGGGAAGTCCCGACGCTTTTGTGTTTCTTTTTCTGTGAAAAAGCCCACCCAACTCCAGCCAGCCTTTCTTCCCACCTGGCTGGGGTCCCTTCTTATATTTATTTCCAAATTAACCCCCAATATATTATATATTTATTTATTTCCTCCTCCTTTCCAACCGAGCCATGAAGATGATTTTGGTGCGCAAATTCCGGATCCTTATCCTGATGGTGTTCCTCATCGCCTGCACCATGCATATCATGATCGACCTGCTGCCCAAGCTGGAGAAGCGGGCGGCGGGCGCCGACGGAGCCGGAGACGGCAGAGGAGGCGCTGGCGGAGCCGGAGGAGGCAGCGCCAACGCGGGCTGCTCCTGCTCGCACGCCGCTGCAGCCAGCCGAGCCGGGGAGAAGGAAGGCGCGCGGGGCTGGGCGCCGGCTCCGGAGCTACCCGAGCAACAGCAGCAGCAAGCGGCAGCTGCAGCGCCGGCGGAGAGGGCCGGCGCCTCGGAGGCTGCCGCTGCAGCCGCGGGCTGGCCTAGCAAGCACACGCTGCGGATCCTGCAGGACTTCAGCAGCGACCCCAGCTCCAACGTGAGCTCGCACTCGCTGGAGAAAGGCGCCTCGGAGCGGGCCGAAGCCTTCAAGCGCGCGCAGCAGGAGAAGCAGCAGCCAAAGGGGCCGGATCTGACCCAGAAAGCGCTCATCCAAGATGGGGAGCTGCGCCACGGCCAGCCGAGCAAGAGGAGGCAGCAGCAGCAGCCGGGGAACCGCCTGGGAGGCCACCGGCCTCGCCAGCAGCCGGGCTACGAGGAGGAGGAGGACGAGGAAGGCGCGTATTTCTCCAAGCTGGCGGCTCTCTTCGAGCACCCGCTGTACAAGCTGCCCGTCCCGCCGCTGGGAGACCAGGACGTCCTGTTCAGCGTCAACAGCGACATCCGATTCAACCCCAAAGCGGCGGAGAATCAGGAATGGTGAGTTGGGGGATTGCTGGGGTGGGGGAGAGAGAAAAGAGGCTTTGGAAAACGCCCCGCCGTCGAAAATAGAGGAGTGGGGGGGTGTGTCTACGGTAGGAGTGAAACTAGGCTTTCTTTCACCCGGGGCAAAAACCCAGGTTGGTACACTCCCCGTGCGCATTTGCGCGCACGCACACACAGGCTGGGAGTCTCAATAGCGCCCCTTTGGAGGCTTCACCCGGGGCAAAAAAAACCCCGGCTAGCTTCCCCACTGAATTGGGGTTGGGGGCTGTTGGGGGATGGGGAGGAGAGAAGTGGCATTGGCTTTAGGTAACGCCCCACCGCGCCGTCCAAAATAGAGGGGGGGGGGCGTCTAAGGGAGCGTTGCCTGAAGCGGCCCTTTCGGATTCTCGGCTTAGGAGCAATCCTTAAAGAGCTTTGTCCTAATTGATTCTCTGCGCCCCCCACCCCTTCCGCACCGGTGTCTTTCTTTGCCCGTTCAGATTCTTGCATTGAGTGATTCTCTGCCCCCCCCCCCAATTAAATAGAGTGGGGAGTCTTTGCCCCTTCTGGTTCTCTCCTGAAGAACAGGCAGCGTTGCTTGATTCTCTTCTTTCTCCTAAAATTACAATAGGGAAGGAGTCAGCTCACCAGTTGCCCCTTCTCCACCCTCAGAGTTTAATATCTCCCCCTTCCCTGCTGAAGACTGGAAGAGAAGCTTGCATGGGCTGACAAGCCCCCCACCCATATACTTCTGCATAGAGGGAAGGGGGCAGAAAGTATTAGCTGATGTTGGCGGTACCACCTTGCTGGTTCTTGCCTTCCCTTATTAAAGAGAGGAAAAAGAGAATCTTACATTGACAGCCTGCCCACCCACCCTGTAAATAAAACAGGGAATGGGGCTTTCTAAGAGAGCTTCAAGTGATGTTGCCCCCTAGGAATCTTCAGCTCCTTCCTTAACAAAAATGGATACGAGTCTCCTCTTGACTTTTACTGCTCTCCCTACCCCCAGCCCAATAATACAGTGCAGAAGTCGTAGTAGCAGTGATAACATTTCAGAAATCTTCCTCCCTTATGAAAAAAAAAATGGACAAGTCTTGCATTGGCTACCACCAGCCCCCTTAATATTTTTTTTAAAAGGCCTCACACACCCTACAAAAATATAAGAGACAGCCGACTTCTGTAACATCAGCTGATGCCACCCCTTCTGATTTTCTCCTCCCTTCAAACCTAAAATATATAGGTAAGATTCTTGCAGTAGTTAATGCCCCCCCCCATAAGAGTCTTATAGTGATTGACACTCCCTTCTTAAACCAGATAAGATATCCTGAGATAGCAATGGCTGGTCTCTCTCTCTCTCTCTCCTGCTCCTAGTTTTGCAGTTATTGATGCCAAGGCTAACATTAACGAATACAAATATTTTACTGACTGTCACTCTTCCAAAAAACAAACAAACCAGAGTGCATTCTATGATGCTGCTTTCTCAGTAAGTTGTTCCTGTGGAAGATAGTTCTCTTCTCCAGCTGTTGTAAAAATGAAGAAGTCTTGGTTGACCTCCCCTCCCCCCAAATAAATAACACAGAGATAATGTTTCTAAGAGAGCACGGTGTGTTGTGAAAGGTAGCTTTGGTTTATGTTAAACCCCTTCCTTGATTCCCACCCACCCACCCACCCCACCTTCACTGTGGAAAGAGATAAGGATCTCAGGGGCAAAAAGGCAATGTTTTCCTTTAAAGATAGCACCTGGAGATGTCTTTCCCACCCAACCAAAAACTGAATAGGCAGAATTGCCATGTCTTCTTCTCACTCTTAATGATTCTCCCACTGGTACTGCCCCCCACCCTCCAAACAACAGATAATGGGTAGTGAGTCTTTCAAAAATAACACAGACGAATGTCTTTTAAAATACCACTTTGAACTTCCTGATTAGTCCTCAGTGTCTCTCTGCCTATGTGCAATCAGAATTGTTACCCTTCTCCCAAAAAAGGAAGGTGAGATACAGTGTTTTTAGGAATTCTGTCACTGAGAAGAAGGTTGTTAGATTGTTTCATCTGAGCTGAAATGGGTTTGCAGGGTTAATCTACCCAAAAGACAAATAACTAGGAATCAGAAGGAGGAGATGGACAATTCATGGTCTTCCCACCTGTCAGTGATCCCTCAGCCCATGTTTACCCCTTGTTAGGTAGAGAAAATAGAATTTGGAGGATTTTATTTCAGTGGAGGTGCCAGATTTAATTCACCACAGCAAGAGGAACTGGATAGATGTTATGACTTCCACCACAGCCAGCCTTCCCTTCCCAGGAACCTTTCTTAAAAAACAACAAGGAGTTGTGTGAATGGAGCCTGCTAATCTCATCCACCAAAGATGAAGAGGTGATGGTGAAATAGGAAGTATGTCCAATCCCATCTCGGTTCTCCACTGCCTTTGTCAGTGTATAATCTACTCAACTCCAACCCTTTGCTGGAACTGCTGAATGAATTGCTTACTTTTAATTATATAGGATGTGTCTCTAGCTTAAATGGCTGTTTTACCTGAAAATAAGCCCCATCAACCATAGTGGGATTTACTTCTGAGTAGACAAGTACAGGATTATGCTAGTAGTGGGTTCTTGAAGAGAACCAGGTATGCTAGAAAAAAGGTGTGTCTTTCTCTCTCCCCCTCCCTATCTTTTCAGGCTTCTGTCTTCCCAATTTCTCTTTTTTTAATAAAAAAAACCCCAGGGATGAAGATCTTAGTATATTGTCCAATAATTTGAACTGCTGAGGGAGCTCCTGCAGATTTAAGCCCAGACACACCCTGGCAGGATGCAGAGAATTTGAGATAACCATGCTGACATCCTCGCCCACTGCCGCTACTACCACTTCCAGTGTTCGAAACTCCCATTGTTCTAGGCGCATTTCACAACAGGGAATTTCATGAGCTCTGGGTGCTGTATTGCACCTAAGATTTCAGATTAAAACTGCAGAGTGGAAGGAAAGGAGGTCCTTTTTCCCCCCTGCCTCCCTACTTCCAGCTACTCTCTGAAGACTGGAGAAGAGACCCTCTTGAAGAATATTAGTGAGGTGGGCAGGGGAAGGACTAGACCATGTGAAAAATGAACATAATATTTTAGCTGCAGTTCATTCATTTTTCAGCTCTGTATTCCTATAAAAAAGAGTGCCTAGACATTCCGTTGTTGTGCCCATAACCTAGGTTTAAGGTGCTATTCAGCTCCTAGCTTTCATATCTGTTTCTAACACTGACCACTACTATACTAGATCCCATTTTCCAGATATTTGGTGACACCACTAGATATTGTTCCCACAGGAAGCAGTGATGGCCACCGATTTGGGTGGCTTTCAAAGAGGATTATTCGAGTCAGTGGAGAGGAAGGCTATTGATGGCTACTGGCCAAGACAGTTATACTCTGCCACCACAGTCAGAGACATTAATGCTTCTGAATACCAGTTGCTGGAAACCACAGGAGTAGGGAAAGTGCTCTTGAGCTCTGGTCCCACTTGTGAGTTTTCTACAGACATCTGGGTGGCCACTTTGAGAACAGGATGTGGACTAGATGGGCCATTGGTCTGATCCAGCAGAGCTCTTATGCTGTTACCTTTCACGCTGTGGTCATTTGCCAATTGATCCTGTAGCCCAGGCATGTCCAAAGTCCATTTTGGGGGCCTAACTCAGCCCGCTGGTCGGTTTAATCTGTCCCCTGTGGCAAAATCCAAAAAAATCTTCAACCCTAAAAAAAGGTCAACAACTTTGGTCAGCTGGTCAGCCCTTTGGTCGGCCCTCACCGCCCTCCAGTTCATCAAATCTGGCCCTCTTTGAAAAAAGTTTGGGCACCACTGCTGTATTCCTATACGCACTGAGAGTGAGCCCCTTTGGATAGACGTGTGTAGGGCTGCACTGATAACTTCCAAAGCTGAAAAATTGCAGGTGGTCTAAACACTGTTTGCAAAAACTCTTCCCACCCCTTAGGATAGCATTGTAGGAGTTGTTGTTATTAAGATAAAAGCAAGTGCATGAGCAAATCCCTAGGGTCCATCTCCGAGTAAGAGTATTAGGAGCTGGATCAGGCCAAAGTCTCATCCTGTTCTCACTGTGGCCAGCCAGAAACCTATGGGTAGCCTGAGAGCAAGAGCTGAGTGAAAGAACACTCTCCCCGCCCCCTTTGTGATTTCTAGAGGTTAGTATTCAGACATCCATTTGATGCTTTGCTTGCTGCATTTATAACCCACTTGTTCCTCCAAGGAGCTCAACGTGATGCCTTTAGTTCTCCGCCTCCCCATTTCCTCCTCACAACCACCCTGTGAGGTAGGCTAGGCTGAGAGTGAGTGACGGGCCCGAGCTCACCCAGTGAACTTCATAGCTGAGTGGAGATTCGAACCTTGGCCTCATATGCTAGTCGGACACTCTAACCACAATACCATACAGGCTCTCTTTTTTATTGTCCCTGAAAGAGTCAGAGATCCTACTGGGTAAGGTGCAAGTTTCCATTCCCTCTCCCAACAAAAGTAATTTGTCCATTTACACTCCACCCAAAAAAGACACCCTTTTTGTATATGCAAATGTCATGTGCTAAATTGTAGCCCCAAAGACATAGATATATAACAAAAGGTGTGAGCTGTATCCTTCCTCCTTTTGTGGCCTCATTCAGGATTGTCCCTTCCCTGCTGTTAAACAATGCATTCATAAAAAATGAATACGGGTGGATAATATTTTTATTGTACAGGTAGGTAGCCGTGTTGGTCTGCTGTAGTCAAAAGTAAATAAAAAAATTCCTTCCAGTAGCACCTTAGAGACCAACTAAGTTTGCTATTGGTATGAGCTTTCGTGTGCATGCACACTTATTTAGATACACTGAAACAGAAGTCACCAGACCCTTATATATAGTGAGAGGGTGGGGAGGGGTATTACTCAGAAGGGTGGTGGGAATGGGAGATTGGCAGATAGGTGTGGTAAACCTGTTGATGACTGTTAATGACTACAATTGGTCTTACAGGAAAAAGCAAGGGGTGAGATGGCTAAA